GGGGTACAGGGTCCGTGATGGTTGTTCTTGGGGTACAGGGTCTGTGATGGTTGTTCTTGGGGTTCAAGGTCTATGATGGTTGTTCTTGGGGTGCAGGGTCCTAGGAGCAATGCTTATAGAGAGCCTGAGAGGGATGCAAAGGCCATGGAGGGAGGTTAGGAGCAGGATGGGAGATGCAGGGGCTGTGCCAGCAGCTCCCATCTCCATACAAAGCAGAAGGTGGATTCATCTCCTTGAATCCTGAGGCTGGCAGCCATGGAGCTGCCTTCACGTGTGCTCAGAGAGTCATCCACCTCCCTCAGCTCACACCGCACTCGTTTTGATCTCTCCTGTCCCAGTTTAGCCTGGCTGATTTCCACTGCAGCCATAGGCGTTACTGCATGGGAGCTGAGGAGGGTTGGGGTGTCAGTCCCACACTTGCCAGGCCATAACTGCAGCGCTCGGCTATAAATATGTGCCTATTGCAGGAGATGCTGGTCCTGAAGCCTCCCTTGCTTTGGGATGTGCTCACCCTGTCCTTAACATCCTAAGAAGTAACCTTAGGGGGGCATAAAAGGACTGGACAGAGACAGGTTTAGGCTGAGCACCCAGCAACGGTTTCCTGTCTCCCTTGACAGCCACTCGGTTTGCGTGCTGTTAGAATGAAAGGCCACTTTCTGCAAGTATTAGCATTAAGTTCCCTATTCCCCGGAGCTCTTACCCTTGTGTTTGCTCAGAGAGAAAAGGGACACAAACCCTGCCAGCAGGAACCTGTGAATGAAAGCCAAGCGCTCACCCCGTGTTAAGCAGTTCGTGATGCTCATGGGTCATTTCCGACCTTGTCCTGCACAGGGCATTGTTGAGTGAGCAAAGTGTTGGCACCTTTCCTGCCAGATGCGGTATTCCCTATCCTTGGTGGGAAAGATGAAGCGTTGGGCACAGCCATTAACTGTTGTCTCAGCATCCGTGTGTCTGCAGTTAATTTAATGCCACCTCCGACAGGCTTGGCGCCCGGCAGCCTGATGAAATATTCATGGCGAGGAGAAGCACTGGAACTTATCTGCTCCGTGTTGTTCAGCTGCAACGTGGAGGCTTCAAGCATGGAACACACAGGGTGAAAGGGAGAGGAAGCAAGAGCTCACCTGAGGAGTGGGGAGAGGGAAGCGGGACTCAGCTGGGCACTGGGCTCTTGGGAGACCCCACACTGACCTAGGGGAGACCCCAGCCCTCAGCCCCTTCTGACCTGGCCTCTTTATGCCCTCACACCAGCTGTGATGTGCGAGAAGCACATGGAGGGAATAAGCCCAGCTGCCTTAGCTCAGTATCTCCTTACCCTTGTCCCTTCTCCTGCCCTGAGGCTTTGCTTGGCTCCCTGGTCCCAGTCAAAACTCTTCCTCATTCACCTTCATTTCCCTGCGCCCGCTGGCACAAGGCAGCTCCTCTGAAACCTCCTTCCCCAAGCAGTAAAGCTCTGGCTCCAGGCAGCCGAGCGGCATCCTGGGCTGTGTAATTATATCTCAGTGCCTGTTTCTGCTGGCAGCTTTAGCAGCGCGCGAGTGGGAACCAGGAATTACTGCCAGGGAGGAGAAGAGGTGATGCTATCTGTGCCACGGTTATGTGCATGCGGCGTGATTAATCCTTGCTCTGGAGGGTGTCAGCAGCCACACAATCCACAAGATAAACACAGCAGCGTGCAAAAAGGTGCTTCAGGGGGTTTAGTGTGGAGAAGAGAAAGCTCAGGGGGGACCTGATCGCTCCCTACAACTGCCTGACAGGAGGATGGAGCCAGGCTCTGCTCCCAAGGACCAAGGGATGGGACAAGAGGAACCGGCCTCAAGCTGCACCAGGGCAGGTTTAGATGGAGCTGAGGAACAATTCCTGCCCCAGAGGGTGCTCAGCATTGGAACAGGCTGCCCAGGGCAGGGCTGCAGGCACCGGCCCTGCAAGTGCTCACACACCCTCAGTGCCATGGGTTAGTGGTGGCCTTGGCAGTGCTGGGAATGGTTGGATTTGAGGAGCTTAAAGCTCTTTTCCAACCCGGTTGGTACTGTGGTTCTGTGATCTCAGGCCTGGGTGTGCCCCAGCCCCTCCTTGGGCCATCAGAGCTGCTTCCTGTGAGATGTAATTAACTCCTTGTCTTGTGCCCAGCGAGTGACAGACACATCCTGCCTGCGCCACACACCCTGCAGAGTGCCAGCCCTGCGCAGCCCACACGTGATGCTCCCACTGGATCCCAGAATCATGGAATGGTTTCAGTTGGAAGGGACCTTAAAACTCCTCCAGCTCCAATCCCAACCCCTTCCACTGTTGCAGGGTGCTCCAAGCCCCTGTGTCCAACCTGGCCTTGAGCACTGCCAGGGATGGGGCAGCCACAGCTTCTCTGGGCACCCTGTGCCAGCGCCTCAGCACCGTAACCCACATAGGGCTGTGGCTGTGCAACACAAGGCAGTGACGGATGGATGGGGTGACCTCTCCCAGCACAGCCCAGTAAGTTAATGGGGAGCTGAGGAAGAGACTGCAGCTTGCAGAGACAGAGTCACTGCCTGCCCCATGCAACAGGAGCTGCTGTGAGCACCACTGTGCAGTGAGCACACATGATCAGCTGCTCTGCCTGCAATTACTTGAGGTTCATTAACTCCCTTCTGGCCTTCGCTTTATCACCTGGTTCCTATTCAAACCCACCCCGTGGCCTTTGCAGCACCAGCTCTGACAGAGAAAGACCAGAATAGGAGTAAAACTGTTCCAGTTTAAATGCAAACCACCCGGCTGCCATTTCCAGGAGCAGCGGGGCCCTGGCCAGAGCCAAGTGACCAGGGGGAGTCTGGCATTTCAGTATTCCCTGCCCACTGCTCACTTACTATTACTCAGTCTCCATGGGGTCCCGAGGGCTTTTTTGGATGCCCAGTGCTGGAGCTGGCCCATTGCTTTGTAGCTGGGAAGTTTTCGGATGAAAAGTGCATTTCCCTATAGCTTGTGCTATGATGGCCATAAACTCGCTTTGGTTTTAGCTAGTGACTCATTCCTGCTGGATCTCAGGTGCCTGTTCCAAAGCTGTCAGACATGAGCTGCTCTGTGTGTGTTAGTTCTCCTGTGGTTGGGGGGAAAGCCAGTTCCCACCTTCCAGTGCTCAGTGTCCCTTGGGATGTGCTCGCACTGTGCCGTGGGACCAGGCAGTGATGCTGGAGCTCGCTGAGGTTCCCAGGGCTGTCACCACGTTAGCACAGCCCTTGGCAAAGGGAAGCTTTAACGTGATGCTCTCCAGCATCAGCTCTGTGTTCAGGGGTGCATTTAAGCACAGTATTGGAAGGCTGGACCAAAGCTTTATCCTCCCCCCTTCCTTTTGGTGGTGGTGCTGGGATTCCAGTGCTTCAAGGGCATCCTGGGATGATGCCATCCCCACCTGCCTCCTTAGGGAGCATTTCCAGCAGCTCAGCAAGAGAGAAAGGCTCAGTGTTCATGAGTTATATCATTCTTTATATCATCGTTAAGAGTAGCAGGTATTGATGTACAATGCATCTGTCATCTTATTGTGCTTCCTATGAAAATGTGTGTACATAGTACAGATACCAGAGAGAATTCCACACTTTATACACTTGAAGGCATTCAGAGATCAGTAACAGAAAAGAAAATGGCACAAGAACAAGGCCTAAATGCTACTAGATGGATATCTACACTGATATGATGCATATATAGAGATATATATATATATGTACACATATATATATAGTCATATATATTCTATATAAGAAATATAAAATGCAGATGATAGAATAGAAACAAACAAAAAACCTGTATGCTTCAACAAGTGAGCGTCAAGGTCAAATCCCAGCCCCATCTTTAAAAGCTTGAATGGGAAAGAGAAAGGAAGGAAGGAAGGAAATAAATAAACGAAATGCAATGAAACATTAGGAAAAATCCATAAGAAAATTTATGGATGTGGCCAACCCGTCATCTTTGGGCGATCGCTGGATACAAAGGACTGACCCCCAGTTCCTAAGTTTGGTCAGGAAGCAAATAATACTTAATAATAATAATAATAATATGACTAATGACAACAATAATAAACCCAAAGCTGCAGTTTGGAAATAAGACTTACTAAAAAGACTTATTGCAAAAGCTCTTAAAGATAAGTAGCACTTCAGCCCTGGCAGGGCTCTTGCTTGGTGTGTGGGGCCTGGGGGCTGGCAGGGGCTGGGGGAGGCCAGTTTGCACTGGTCTGAGAGGGAGATGACGATGCACTGATGGACCTGGGGAGCAGAGACTCGGCCAGAGCCAGAGCCCAGCTGCTGGGGCAGGTCCCTGCGTGCCAGGGCAAGGGCAAGGGCAGGAGGAGCAGCGGTGGCCCCAGGGCAGCGAGCTCAGGGATGCCCCGATGATGCCCAGGGCTGGCGGTGCCCGGGGGCAGCTGCTGCTGGTGATGGGTTAGGGGGGTGTTCAATGGGGTGGGAGCCTGCGGTCCCGTGGACCAGAGCACCCTGTGCCATGGGGTGTCCCTCAACCTGTGAACCCCTTTGGTGGTGGGGCTCCAACGCATGGCTAAAGCGGTGCCAAAGGAGCATCCTTTGTGGTACCCCTGGCTGAGCCGGGCCAGTGGCTGCAGCTGAAACGGGGTTCAGGAGTTTTCCTTCTGCCTTTCTGCCCCGAGGATGGCTGTTTTGGGGGCCGCACGGGGTAGCCCCAGGTTCCCTGGGGAGAGGAGGGACTGTGGGGCAGGGCTGGTGCTGGCCAGGCTGTATGGAACCCAGGGGAGACAGGCAGGGAGACCACGAGTCTTCAGTGCCAAAGTGGCACCCCATGGCCGTGTCCCCTGTGGTGCTTGTGGCCAGCCAGCAAGCTGGGTGGCTGAGCATCGCCGTCCCTGGGGCAGGATGCTGAGGAAGACGTTGGAGGTGCCCCATCTTCATGTGCAGGGAGGGCGCAGGCTGCGAGCCACTGCGATGCCAGGGGACAGCGAGGCTCTCCTGGGACTGCTGAACCCAGGGCCACGTCTGCTGAGCACACCTCCGTGATCCAGAGGGTCCCAGCAAGCACCAGCCAGGGCGTTGGAGCAGGATGAGCATGGAGGCGATGGACGGACAGACAGGGCTGTGGATGGAGAGTGCGGCCAAACGGCTGCTTCTTCTTGGCTTCTGGGTTCTAGTTAAAAAGGCCGAGGGGAGCCGAGGGGGGGGCCAGGCCCCAGCCCGCTGTGCGTGTCGCTCCCCACACCACAAGGGTGGCCGGGCTGGAGCATCCTCAAGTCTCTGAACTCACGGGGCAGGCACGGAGCAGCTGCCCCAAGGGGCTGCGTGACCCGACCCGGCTGCCGGCCCCCAAAGCCGAGGCTGTGGCTCTTGTCCGTGTCCCACCGTGTCGAGGAGCAAGGTCCCCTTAGATGTGTCTCTCTGCTGGCGCTGGCAGGGAGGAAGGGCAGCTCTCCGGAGGGCTTTGGTAGCTCAGGTTGTACATCCAGGCGTCGGTTAGCAGGTGAAGTCCTCAAAGGTGCCCCGGGCCGGGTGGTGAGGTAGGATGTTGGCTGCGTACGTCATGCCTGCCGGGTGGCCACGTATGCTTTCACAGGGGTTCTGCAGGGCAGAGGATGGATGGGTACCAGGGGTACTGGTTTCACCCATGCAGAGACCGAGTCCTGTCCCCCCCCCCCAGCATCTCTGCCTGGTGCCTCTGCTCCTTTCGTAAGCATTCCCTACAGTGGTGGCACCCCGTGGCCCACCTGAGCTGCAGGAAGGGGACCAGCACCTCCCACGGCACTTACGTGGCGTTTCACATCGTCCATGCTCAGCGCGACGCCCTTGTCCGTGTTGCTCCTCTTGTGGTTCTTGCGGCACTTGCCCCGCCGGCACAGCCGATGCTTTATGACCTGTGAGAGCCACATCTCAGCACCATGGGGGCTCCTGGGGGGCTCTTCCCCATGCCCCACATGAGTATTCCAGTGCTCCACGATAACCTTGCCCCCCGGTAGCTGTAGGACGGCAGAGACCCACCTCATAGGCATAGTCGAACAGCTCCAGGACTGTGAGGATGCTGGCCCCAATGAACAGCCCCATCTGCCCTCCAATGTCACCTGCAGAGGAGAAGGGAGCCGTCAGGGTGGGGTGAATCCAGCGCCTGGTGGCAGAGGGGAGCAGAGAATGGGCAGAACTCATCACTGCTGTGGCCGTGGCAGTGGGTGCCCTGCTCTGCATCCATGCTCTCAGCACATCCTTGGGAACAGGGCCACGGTGCATGGGGCCAACCTTGTTGTTAGATGCCGCCTGGGTGCTGCTGCAGGGCCCCCAGCACAGCCACCAACACTCACCCAGCAAACCAGCCACCTCGTATGCCTTCTTCTGCTCAATGGTCTCATAGTTCAGGGCTTCGAAGAAGATATCCAGCACCAGGATGTTCTCCCTGTGCAGGACATAAGACAAGGCTGAGATTTGGGATGGAGGGACAAAAGATGCCTCCCCATCGCTGTGGATGCAGCATGTTACCCGATGTACTGCTCCGACTTGTTGTACTTCTTGGCCAGGTACTTGGCAGAGGCTTTACTGGGGATCTTCACCATGGAGAGCTCTTTGCCATAGCGGGTCACATTGCAGGGCATCTCACAGACACAGTACTCATTATCCTTTTCCACCAGGAAATCTGGGCAGGGAACAGAAGGAGATGGAGAGATGGAGAAACCCAACACACGCAGCTCGGCCCCGCAGGGCCCCGCAGCCTCACCTAAGGCCGGATCCGCACACTCCTTGTACTGCTCCGGGGTGCAGTAAGGGGCATCGCCTGCAGGGGAGAAGAGAGCAGGTTTCCCTGGTGGGACCATGGCAGTGGGATGAGGCTGGGGGGGCGCGGGCCCTGCCGTGCCCAGCGCTCACCTGGCATGTGCACCATGCGGCAGTTGCAGTTCTCCACCAGGTAGCGCGTCTCGCAGTCGATGCGGCAGGCGGTGATGCTGTAGGTGTCATAAAACTCCGAGTCGCCCGCCACGGCCTTGCAGTCGCCCCAGGGAGGTGGCAGGTAAATGAGCTGGCATGGGGCAGAAGCCAGGAGTGAGGAGAGAAGCCCACCGGCCCCCAGGATGGAGCCCTACAGCAGACACCCTTGCTGTAAGGGTCCCTGTGACATAGGGGCAGGCAACAGGGCCATAGGGAGGAGGCTCAGTGCCCCACAGCAGGTCTAGCTCCCAGTGCTAAGGGGAGCATCCCAGATCCGCCCCCCCAGTCCCTACCCGCTGCTCCTGGCAGGACACGAAGGTCTGGAAGCCGGGAGCTACCCCGAAGCCCAGCTGGTCGATCAGTGGGGGCTCATCCTGACTGTGGATCTGCACCTTGATCCCAGCTTCAAACGAGGTCTCATCTGTGGCAGAGAGAAGGAGGGTAAGCACGATGCTGGACCCCACTCTGCAGGGCTGTGCTGCATGTCCGTCCGTCCATCCATCCATCCATCCATCCATCCATCATCCATCCATCCATCCACCCATCCATCCATCATCCATCCATCCATCATCCATCCATCCATGCATCCATCCATGCATCCACCCATGCCTTTGCTACACTATGTCCTTGTCCCCTGTGCCTCTGACCCTCCTGCTCCAGCACCCAGGAGTGCAGCAGGGAAAGTGTTTGCCTCTATTTATAAACAAGTGATGGTTGCTTGTCTAAACCGATGGGGAGTTGCCATGGCAAAGAGCAAAGATAAGGAGGAAAAAGGGAGGAAAAGGACCCAAAGTGATGAGAAATGGAAGGAGGGAAGAGGAAGGAGACTGAGGGACATGAAGGAGCTGGGAAGCATCCCGGGAGCTGCTGGTGACTGAGCAGACCTGCTGGCAGAGCTGCTGGGGCCGTGGCTTACCTGTTTCCCCCCACACTGGCAGGTATTCATCCTGCTGAATGTCCAGCATGATCTCCAGGCCGTTGCCAGTGCCCCCCTTCATGGTGATGAGCCGGGGCTTCCCGTCCTGCCCCGCATTGAAGGTGTAGCACTTCCCATAGCGGGTGAAGACCTGCAGGAGAGGACACAGGGCTGAGGCTGGGGCCCCTCTGCCAGCATCAAACTGATGCCAACACCACAGCATGGAGCCAGGAGGGAATTGCCAGCCCCAAAACACAGTCATCCCCAGCCTGGGGTATGATCCGGCCCAGGCTCCTGCTCTATGGGGTGTTTCTCACCATTGGAATGGACCTGATGGAGGAGGAGATGTTCCCCACCATGGCACAGACTCAAAGGAGACGTTAACAGAGTTAAAGCACCTCGACCCCGCATACCCCATGGCAGCCCCAGCTCCCTGAGACGGCGGCACTCAGCCCTACTCCTGCACCAGCATCTCCTCCAAGCCCTCCTCCATCCCTGCAGAGGACAGGGCTGGACAGGATCCCGATCCCTCCCATCCCTCCTCGCCCGTTCCAGCTGACACCTCCAGCATGTCTCCATAGAATCATAGAAGATTTAGGGTTGGAAAGGACCCGAAGATCATCTTAAGATCCATGCCACTGAGTTGCTGCCAGCCCAGGCAAGGGGCACACGAGGCCGGTGGGCTGCAGACCCCATGGTGATGCCAGAACAGAGATACCAGACCAACACAACCCTGGTACTGCTCTCCATGTCCCAGCAGCAGGTCTCTGCAGCCAGAGCTCCAATGAGACTGGAAGCAGCCTGTCCCTGAGCTGGCAAGGACAGTGTCCCCCGCAGTGCCTGATCCCACACGGTGCTGGCCGGAGCTGCTCCCTGCCCCTGGCCACCTCGGGGCTACTCACCACGGCGAAGTCACCGGGGCCACACTGCTCGCCCCGGTAGCTGCAGCTCAGCAGCATGTCCTCCAGCTGGTGGCAAGTGCGGTTAAAGAACACGTACAAATTGAGGGGCTCATCCTCCTCCTCCTCGGGGCCAGGCTGGGCTGGGGTGAAGCCCAGCTCCATCCCAGGCTCGTAGTCGACCAGGGGGCCCAGGTAGAGCAGGTCCTCGTGGCTGAGCTGCGAGAGCCGCACGCGGTTGATGTTGCAGAAGGTGATGGCGGGGAAGGTCATCTCGAGGCTGTCCTCCTCGCGGAGCAGCGTGACGTGGTGGTACTCCAGGTAGTAGGCGATGCGGTCGGCCACCTGGTAGAGGAAGAGGGAGAGGGAGAGGAGGAAGGCGAGCGCCCAGAGCGCCTGCCGAGCACCCAGGCTGCCCTCCACAAAGATGTGGCTCAGCCCGTGCAGCGTGCAGCTGCTGGCAAAGGCCACAAAGTCCGTGGCTGCCCCTGCGTCCTCCTCTTCATCCTCCTCCTGCTCATCCAGGAACTCATCTGCTCCGTTATCTCCTGTCCCCGTGGCTGCAGCATCTCTTGGTGCTTCCTCGCTGGAGAAGGAGATGGTGCAGAATATCTGGAGAGGCATGGTCCAGCGTGGGGGTCCTGGTCCCTGCCCAGGGGTCTTCAACAGTGGGTTGGTTCCTTGGGGTGTGGGTGAGAGGGGCTGGGGGGGAGCAGGGAGGGAGGAAGAGGCAAGTTCAGAGAAGAGAAACAGGGAAAAGGAGCGAGAGGCGCGTGAGGGAGAGGAGCAGAAGGATGCTCAGAGGGGACAGAGAGAGGAGGATAAATCAGGAGCAGGGAGGAGGAGAGGAGGAGCAAGGGGCGGTTCTGCAGGCTCCCAGGTCCCCGGGGACAACCGGCTGCTGCTGGCAGGACGGAGCCGGCTCCAGAAGCACCGATGCTTTGGGAGCTCCTGGTGCTGCCTGCGGGGCCCTGAGGAGCTTCCAGGTCCGGTGGACACGGGTGAGCACGGGTGGACACGGGTACCGGTAGTGCTGCATCCCCACACTGCATCCTCCATCCTCACTGCAAGGCAGCCCGGTCCTGGCAGCCCGACCAGCAGCGCCAGCCAAGGTTTCCCTGCCGGGTGCCAGCCTGTTTCCAAAGCCACCATATGCCAGCCTCCAGGTTCTTCATCAGGGCAGCTGGAACCAGAGGTTTTCCCAACATGCCTGTGACATTGTCCTGCTGCAGCGCCCATCCGGGTGGTGCCAGCGAGGGCAGGAGGATGCTGTGGTGTCCCCAGGCTGTCACGGTGCTCATCCATCCCTATAGGATAATCTCCAGGTGCCATAGGGCAGCAGCATAAGCATGAGAGCATCCAGTAAAGGCAGTGTCCCGAGCGGTGTGAGGTCCATCCTCCAGTCCAACGCTGTTTTGGGCAGGATTTGGGCACTGACATGGTCCAGGTGATGATTCCTCCTGCAGAGCCCAGCCAGTGCATGGTCACCTCGTGCTTTGGACCCCTGTGGGGCACAGGGAGCCACTGCTGTCCCTGGGGAATGGTGTCCAGGCCTCATAGTGCTGGGGTCCAGGAGGGCAGCCCTGGTGATGGCGGTGGGATGGAGCCGGCAGCCGGGCACAAAGGCATCTCCTCGCTGCAGCCCTGCAGCAGCACAGCCCCTGCCTGTGGTTTTGCCTTTCTCCTGCACTCAGCACTTCATAAAAGCATCAATGTGACCACAGAGCAATCTCCAGCCCCTTCCCAGCACTGCAGCCGCCACCACTGGCCCAAGGGGAAGGGGAGCATCTGAATACATCTAAATACAGCAGCACTTTGATGCACAAGAGCTGGACAGGAGGCTTTGGTGGGTGTCTGGGTGCTCATTGCATGCCCTAGCCCACCAGTTTGGCTGCTGTGCCTCCTTCCCCACATGCACTGTGGGGCCTGCAGTCCGTGAGCACATCCTGGCTTATGGATATGGGCACCACCAAACTGGGTGACCAAATGCAACCAGGAAACTTGTACAGGTCTGATCTGATACCAGAGCAAATCCCTCTGCTCTTCGCAAGCGACACCGGTTAATGGGAAGGGCATGCACTGGTGATCCCTGGCAGGGCAGGCTCAGCCAAGATGATGACTGATGATGTGACAACGGGTTGTCCTTTGAGGAGCCATCCTGGGGCTCCTCAGGTTCAATATATCCAATAGGGCCCTTGTGTAAGAGGGACACTGGCAGTTGCCACAAAGCTGGGGGCACTGTTGGCACCTGGGAGAAGGGGTGGGTGACCTTGGGAATGAGTGCCAGAGCCATGGGATGAGACTTCATAAAGCCAAGAGCAAGGTCGTGTCTGAGCTGGAAACTCACCCTGAGAAATAGGACCAAGGAGGCGGATTGGGTGGCTGGGAGCCACTATACCACGGGGACCAGGTCACATCCCAGCCCTTTGCCTTTGATGGAGACAAGCTGCAGCTGCATCCTGGGCTGGGCTGGGCTAGAAAGGCATTCCATTCAGCTGGGATGGGGTTTGAGGATGCTGGATTGGTTACACCCTGGGGAGGCAAGCTGTGCTGACTGTGTGCTGTTAGAGGATGCTCTGAGCAGGTACGAGCTGGCTGAGCTTGGGGTGGGATTCCTGGTGCTCCCTGCCTCTGGGGCAGGCAGTTTCTGTGCAATGCCTGTAGGAGGGAGAGGGGAAGAAGGAAGGAAAATGGCAGAGAAGCCTGGAGGGGCTTGTTTAGCCCTGGTAGGGCACAGTGGGTCAGTCCCTGATGGTGTGAGCGAGGGGTTGAACTGATCCCCGTGGCATGGAGAGGTTTAATGTGTCTTCTTGGGAGCAATTACAGCAGGGAGAGGGATCAGCTGTAATGAGAACACTCCATCCTCAGCTGGCGCTATTAACTTGCCCTGCTTGCTTTAAACAGCTTGTGGAAGGTGCCAGGGCTGGTTCCCAGCAGCCGAGAGGTGCAGTGAGGCTGAGCACATCCCCGGCTCCGGTTACCACCTCCTGTCCCAGCGCTGACACTTGAGCTGGGGTGAAGGTGACCGGGGATGGTCACAGCCACGGGCACGGTGGCACCGGCACTCCGGAGAGTGCATCCTGCATCCCCAGCTGGGGGCAAACTGTGGCCACGGTGCAGCCGGCGGGGTTGTCGCCCTGCTTGGTGCGAGTTTGGGAGGTGCTGGAGGAGTCCTTGGGCTCGTTCCAGCTCTTCCCTTGCCAGGAGTTATTTTTACCCTCTCTCAGGTAAAGCTTTGGCGGGGGAGAGGGACGGGGGATGCTATAATTAACCGTGACATCAGCCCCCGTGGCGGCGCACGGCGGGATGCTGCTGCCACACCTCGCCCCACCGCTGGGGACCAGGGATGCTCAGCGCTCCCCTGCCGCAGCGAGGGATGCGGGAGGATGGAGCTCGGGTCCTCCTGGCTCCTTCAGAGCGCTTGCCCGCGGTCCTGGGGCAGCTGGGCCCCGCTTTGCAGCTCCTCATGGGCCCAGGAAAAGGAGGTTTCCCGGAGTAGGGGAACACGGAGGCGGCGGGAGGGAAGCGGGAGGGGGATTTGACGGCAGCAACAGCACATTTCACAGCCTGTCACGCTTTAATGGCAGAGGAGATCAAAGCCGGGATGGAGTTATTCATAGAGATAAACCAATCCCCGAGGAGGCGAGGAGAAAACAACATTGCAAGCTCTGTTAGCCCAGGCCTGCAAGCGGCAGCCCAGCCCTGGGGACGCTGTTGCAGAAAGTGCCTCTGGAGCTGGACCCTTTTGGGTTTGTAATTGGGGCATTGCCAAGGGCTGGCTGAGCTCCCTGCATCATCCCGGGGGGTACCCAGAGGCTGGAGCTGACCGGTGGGAAGGGGTGAAGCAGCCAGGAGCTGGATTTGGGAATGGGTATTTGATGGAGCAGATGGGGTCCCCTGCAGCCGGGCTGTCCTGCTCCCACAACACAGCTGGGTGTATTGCATTGAAGGGGGGGAAAATCAGGTTTGCAATGAACCTTGGCCCAAGAATGTGCTCTGCAGCTCCCAGAGATGCTGTCGTGATGGTGGTGGTGGCACCCGCAGTGCATCCATCACTGCTGTGGGCAGGATGAGCAGCTTCTGTGGCTGCAGATCCCCTCCCTGACCCTGGTGAGAGGCACAGTGAGGGCAGCCAAGCGAGGTGGGATTGCCTGGGCAGTGGGGATCTCTGCTGGGACTAATCCTGCCACCCTTTATCAGATCCTGCCACCTTGCCTCCCCGTGCTCCGCCAGCCAAGCCGGGCGCAGCTTG